TCAGCCTTCAAAAGTAAATTCTGCTGCATGCCACAATATGAACATGTTGATGGCGTTATGCTAAGTGAACTAAGCCTGTCACAGAAGTACAAATACTCTTAAGATCTCACTTCATAGAAACAGAAAGTAGAATGGTAGTTACTAAAAGCTGCAAGAGGGAAATGGGGCATTACTGTTTAATAGATATAGAGTTTCAATTTTATAAGATGAAAAAAATCCTACAGATTAATTGCACAACAATATGAATGTACTTAACATAAAAATGGTTAAGATGATAAATTTTTATGCTACATTTTTTTACACCACATTAAAAAAAAGAAAAGGTATGAACAGGCCAAAATAATGGAGCAAAAATAACTAGGGCCTGGGTACAGTGAGTGGCTTGGATCTTTAATTTTAGCTACTCAGAAGGTTAAGGCAGGAGGACTGCTTGAAGCCAGAGGTTGAGAACAGCCTAGGGAACATAGTCAGACCTTGTCTCTTAAAAAGCAAAAAAAAAAAATAGCCCAGGCCGGACGCAGTGGCTCTTGCCTATAACCCTAGCACACTGGGAAACCAAGACATGGGGAGTGCTTGAATTTCAGAGTTCCAGACGAGCCTGAGCAAGAGTGAGACCATGTCTCTACTAAAAATAGAAAAACTAGCCAAACATGGTGGCACAGACTTATAGCCACAGATACTCAAAGAGACTGAGACAAGAAGATTGCTCAGCCCAAGAGTTTGAGGTTGCTGTGAGCTATGATGCCATAGCACTCCACCCAGGGCATGGAGTGAGGCTCTGCCTCTCAAAAAAGAAAAAAAGACTGGCAGTGGCTATAGTGCCAGCTAGGCTAAGACAGGGGAACCACCTGAGCCCAGGAGTTTGAGGCTGCGGTGAGCTATGATAGAGGCACTGCACTCCATCCTGAATGGCTAAGTCAGATCCCTATCTCTTAAAACACCCAACACACACCCCTCCCCACCCCCAAATCCTCAACAGTAACAATAAAAGGACATTTAAGTATTTGCTAAACTCCACGATTAAAGCAAAAGTTGTTTTAGTTGGCTATAAATTATAAAAATCTTACTTTTATCCCACACCTCTTTCTAAAAAAGGATTGAAGTGACAGAGCTAGATAATGTGAATGCAGACAGCATGTGAAGAATAATGTTCAGAGAAAGGGAGATTAATAGCCTAATACATCTTACATTAATCAAAGTACATCTATTACATAATTCTGCAAAATGTCCTCACAGTTATTTTAAAGAATGACCAATAAATCTTGAATGTCATGTGAGGAACAATAAAGAAATTAAGAATGTGAAAGCTTAGCCTTTAGAGAGCTTTTAAGAACATGTATCTATAATAAAGTACTTTATTTGGAAAACTAGACATAGAATCTGAAATACATGTAGAATACAACACAAAGTACTTTGACAGAAGACAGGCCCAGACTGCTACACAGGAGAGACTAACTTTTTTTCATTTGAGACAGAGTCTCACTTTATTGCCCTCGGTAGTGTGCCATAGTGTCATAGCTCACAGCAACCTCAAGCTCTTGAGTTCAAGTGGTTCTCTTGTCTCAACCTCCTGAGCAGCTGGGACCACCTGCAACAACGCCTGGCTATTTTTAGAATCAAGGTCTCACTCTGGCTCAGGCTGGTCTCAAACCTGTGAGGTTAGGCAACCTACTCACCTCAGCATCCCAGAGTGCTGGGATTACAGGCTTGAGCTCCTGGCCCTACAGAGACTAACTGTAATTCAATATAAAGGAAACACTTAAAAACAAAATTTACATATTCAAAACTATTTACTAAGCAGCTACTTTAAGTCAAGCACGGTTCTAAGTACTGGTCTTGTAAAAGTCGATGACACTGACACAGCCTCTTTCATCTTGGGGTTCATATGCTGAATGCAGCAGGTACACATGTCAAAGAATGGTAAGTAGTGTGGGGAAAAAATGAGGCAGGGAAGCTAAGGTAGTTTGGAGTCCTGAGGTAGAAGATGGGAACTTAGCAGACGTCTGGTAAGAAATCAAGGGACAGTGCCATGAGGAGTATGTAGAAGGGCAGTGTTTGTGAAAGAGAAAACAGTTAAGTACAAACACTCTGAGGCAGAAGCATCCTTGGTGAGTGTGAAGAACAGTAAGGAAGCAGTAATAAGGTTGTCAACAGGCCAGGCATGGTGACCTATGCCTGCAATCCTAGCACTCTGGGAGGCCGGGACAGGAGGAATGCTTGAGTTTAGGAGTTTGAGACCAGTCTGAGCAAAAGCAAAGACCCCATTTCTACTAAAAATAGGAAAAATTACTCAGGCACTGTGGTAGGCACCTATAGTCCTAGCTACCTGGGAGGCTGAGGCAGGAGGATTATTACTTAAACCCAGGTGTTTGAAGCGCTGCCAGCTATGATGCCACAGCACTCTAGTCTGGGCAAGAAAGTGAGATGCTGTCTCAAGAAAAAAGAAAAGAAAAGGTGCCAATATATGAAAGGTGCTCCTGTCACACAGCCCTACTGCTTTCTAGTTCCTATGTTCAAGCAAAACAAAAGACTACATGTATTTGTAAAGAATTTTGTAAAGGGGATTCTTACTCCTGGTAAAAGACTAGATTGAACAACATTAAAAAGTCCTGCCAACTGATAGGAATATTCAATTCTTTAAACAAATACATTCCACATTTAATACTTTATTTTATTTTCATAGATAGACTGGTCAGTGTAACATATTTAGAATAGAACACACCTTTTAGCCTTTAAGTCAGTGGACCATAGTTGCACTCTGGAATCACCTATGGAACCCAAAAATCAGTAATGCCTCCTATTACTTGGTCTGGAGTAATACCTAAAGCTCTGAGATTTAAATGCTTTCCAAGTGATTCTGATCTTTAGCCAAGGTGAAAACCACTAGATTGAAACGGGGCTTTACTGGCATCCCCTACTTCAGAAAATGATAATTCTCTCTGAGGCCTGAATACATCAGAAAATAACATCAAAGAGGAAAAAAGATGAAGTAAGGAAAAGTGCCCAGATTACGCTGGGTCGGACACTCTGTATAGCACTTGATATGCAAGTCTTTGATTTTTAACAGGAAATGTGAACAGAAGCTATTATAGTGTTTTGAGTAAAGAACTATGATCTTCTAAATTAACAGAATCTCTGGCTGCTGAAAACAGGCTAAAGAGGTAGGTAGCAAAGGAAGCAGAAAGAATAGTGGGAAGGCTATTCCGGTACGTCAAATCAAAGACTGTGGTGGCCTGGACCATTCTGGACGTGGAGAAAGCTAAAAATATTTATTCACCAAGACTGAGAAAAAGAGATTTTAGAGTGATATCAAAGTTTTTGGCTTAAGGAAGTGAAATGATGGAGTTGCCACTAACCGAAATATGCAAGAATGAAGAGAAGTAGGTGGTAAGAATTATAAGTTCAGTACTCAGTACTACAATGAAATCAATATATAATCACATACACATTCCTATCAATGGCAAAATGTAACTATAGTCCAGAAAGTAAAAGGGAAGAGGAGAGAGAGGGGAGTGGAAGGGGGATATGGGAGGGTTTAGACCTCACCTAATGTGCATGATGCAATGGTACATTTCAAAACTATTAAGAAATGAGTGTAATTGTGATGGATGTGTTACTTAGTTCAATGTAAGCATTTCACATTGTATATCAAAGCAGCATACTGAACCCCACAAACTCATCAATGTACAAAGTTATGATTTAATAAAAAAATAATAAAGTCATCTTGAAAACTAAAAAAAAAAAAAAAAAAAACAATTACAAGTTCAGAATGTTACATTTGAGATGTTTATGAGATATCCAACAGGAGGTAAGTCTAAAATTCAGAGAAGTCAATGCTAGATATATAAATTTGGGAGTCATCAGCATACAGATGGTAATTAAAACCATGAAACTAAATAAGATAATCTGGAGACAACTTTTGTATTGAAAAGAGAAAGTCTGGCTCAGCACCCATAGTTCAGCAGCTACGGTGCCGGCCACATACAACCAGGCTGGTGGGTTCGAACCCAGCCCAGGTCAGCTAAACAACAACGACAACTGCAACAAAAAAATAGCCAGGTGTTATGACGGATGCCTTGAAAGGCTGAGGCAAAAGAATCGCTTAAGCCCAAGAGGTTGAGATTGCTGTGAGCTGTGACACCATAGGACTCTACCAAGGATGACATAGTGAGACTGTCTCAAAAAAAAAAAAAAACAAAAAACTAATAAGAAACAGCTAATGAGGTGGTGCCTGGAGCTCAAGCGGCTAAGGCACCAGCCACATACACTAGAGCTTGTGGGTTCGAATCCAGCCTGGTCCTGCCAAACAACAATGGCAATTACAACCAAAAAATAGTTGGGCATTGTGGCGGGCGCCTGTAGCCCAGCTACTTGGGAGGCTGAGAGAAGAGAATTGCTTAAACTCAAGAGTAGGAGGTTGCTGTGATACCATGGCACTCTACCCAGAGCGATAGCTTGAGTCTCTGTCTTTAAAAAAAAAAAAAAGCTAATGAATGACATACAAAGGACACCAGGAGAATATAGTCTCTTGAAAGCCAGATGAGGAAAACCATCCAAAGAGCAAGGAGAAAGAAATTGTGTCAAACACTGCCAGATGAGGTCTGAGAATCAGTAGTTAAGACTCAAAATGTGAAAGTCACTGATAACTTTGACAAAGGAAAAATGATGGGGTGGTGCGGATAAAAGTCTAACTGAAGAGGTTCAAAAGAACGGGAAAAGAACTGGAGACAGACACAGCAACTGTTTCAAGGAGTTTTGCTATGAAGAGGAGAAGAAAGAATGCTAATTAGATAGAGAAGTCAAAGTACAATAGAAAATTCCAGAACTTTAATTAAAAGGAATACCCTCTAACGCCTGGAGGCATATATTATACCTGCATGAAAAGGTCACCATGAATACCTACTATTTGTTATTGTATTTTACCTTTTCCAAAACCTGAATTCAGTATTTAATGACGTGTTCAGAAAAACAGCTACTCTGTCTGGCCGTCTGCCACGTACCTGTTCATGGCCTGTATCTTCAGCCCCTCCTCAATGCTGTGACTGAGCGCCTGCTGGTTATTGTGCTTGTTGATCCTGGCTAACACTCTCTCTTGATGAGCTTCATATTCATCACGACT